TCATCTTCCAATTTCACTTCCAATATCACCCTTATAAGTGGTGTGTGTCAAGGAATTCAGCCAACACCATTCAAAAAGAAATGGATCAGAAGTCCACATTTTTGCTCATTCATAATCCCTAGCCCTTTATTCTGTTTTAGTGAATATCCTGAGCATGAGTGCCAGCTCTTTTTGATTGTTAGAAGAGAAATCTTTAAACTTCAGTGGAGTTCCAGATATGTCAAGCAAAAAAGATAGACTAGAAAACTGTAACATCTTAACCTAGTCTAAGGTAGATGACCATAAGTTAATTGTCTTGTTTTGAAAAATGTCTCTAATTCAAATATCAAAATATTCTGCCAAGTATACAGGTTCTGTATCATTTGATTCAGCAAGGTTTCTCCTTCAATTTCATGGGTTATAACAATCTTGACAGCATTAACTTTCTGTTATAAATGTTTTTCTAAACATCCCTATGGTCATAAGTATTTTCCATTGTATTCTAGCAGCATAGTTTTAAATCACAGATTCTCTAGACTAGATGATAGAACTAAACCATATATTGTATTGTGTGTACTTGACTTTTCCTCCAGCAAGGCAAATTGAATAGATGGAGACAAGATTTTTCAAATTAAATCAAGGTAACTAATATAAAAACCAGTACTACAGTACCAAAGCAGTCTTTGTAAATATAAATCACTCTAATCTCTCTACCAGTTGTCAGTATATTTCAGTAGAAAGTACCAAGCAGAAAAAAAATGGGACCGCACACTCATAGTATGTTAAAAATACTTTAAAACAATAGGGGTTTTCAATGTTAATGCTAAAAATCTAGATTCTTTCTTTCTTTCTTTCTTTCAAAATTCAAGAATTATAGCATCCAATGTTATATTAATATACATATCCCTCTTCTACAGCAGCAGTAACAGTATCTCTTCAGAATAGTGCAGTGTGTAACCCTAAGCAGAATTTTTTACTTCTGTTTTTAACTGATACCAGGAGTCATTGACCACGAAGTTAATGCTAGTGATACAAAGTCCAGATCAATAGCATATGATACTGACATGATTAGAAAAAACGTTTATAACGTTGCTGTATAAATGTATTGGGATAACTTTTGATGATTTCTGACTGCAGAAGAAAAGTGAAAGTGAGATGTGTGCGTGTGTGTGTGTGTGTGTGTGCACGTGCGCGCCCGTGAGCATGCACTCCTGTCACAGCAGATCAAATGTAAAGCCAGCAAAGGCAAAATTAGAGTAGGCAGATCAAAGGAGAGATTTTTTTGTTATTCTTTCCTTCAGGTGACAGATTTTGAAAAAAAAAAAAAAACAAAGAGATTCTGAATTTTTTTTTAACTGGCTAGGTCTACCTGGGGCCAAATTTCAGAAAAACCTCCTCTTTTGACACATCCCTTCTTCCTCATACAATGAGGATTACAGGGATGGCAAAAGAACACGTCTGCTTTTTTGGAAATTATTCCAAAAAAGAGGACACATTCCTTGGATGCAGCATAGCTTTTCCGGGATACCAGAGGTATCCTGGAAAAGCTCTGTAGTCTAGACATAGTCACTTTCTCCTAGACATGTTCATGGTTTAATATGAGACAGAGAATTCTATAGGCGTATCCGTAAATTGTTAAAAAGAAAAGCAATTTTTTTCCTCTTCTTTCCTCCTTGCTCCCCCCTCCCCTTCACCCACCTGCTCCACCCCTACCCATGCCCTTAGCCCCCTGATCTGGGCCTCTTCTTAAGTACCCAAGCAACTCCAGATAAATGTTCTAGCTGATAATACAGTAAAACTGATTGACATTGCATCAAGTGTCACATAAGGATAAACCATAAGGATAAACTACTGAGCAAAAGCAGGACACTAATAGAGTTCTTCAGTTTCCAGTGCCTTTAAGAAGTCCCAGTGGTCCAGAGAAGTGAAAAATTGATATCCTTTGGGATAGTGCTGTGAAAGTCCCAAAGCTCAGCTAAACTACGTAAGCATTATCTTTCAAGACTGTTTTTATTTTTCAGTCTGGTATTAGAATATTCCTGTGTAGAAATGGCCAGTTGTAACATGTACATAGTTAAAAAATCTTAGCAATGGACATCTTGAATATATTCTTTTGGATTTACTAGTGTGACTTCTCTGCCTTTTTGTGTGTGTCTTCTATATCATCAAAATCTCAGGGGAGGACACTGTCTTTTATAGTACCAAGCACACTGTCAGTTCTATAATTAGGGCCCTACCAAATTCACTACCATGAAAAATACATTATAGATTGTGAAATCTGGGGTTTCCCTGTAAAATCTGGACTTTTGAATGATTTTACCCTATACTATACAGAGTTCACAAAGGAGACCAGAATTTGTCAAATTGGAGGTACTTACTGAAAAGTTGCAGAGGGTTGCAAGTTTGGGGGGGGAGGGAAGCGGGGAGAGTCACACTTACTACTGCACTGCCTTCAGATCTGGGTAGCCAGAGAGCAATGGCTGTTGGCCAGGTGCCCAGGTCTGAAGGCTTCACCTGCCACCAGCAGTGCAGAAATAAGTGTGTTGATCCCATATCATACCACTTTTCTATACTGCTGCCTTCAGAGCTTGGTGGGTGGAAAGTGGCAGCTGCTGACTGAGGGTCCAGCTCTGCAGGGAGCAGCATAGATTTAAGGATGACAACACAATACCATGTCAGCCTTACTTCTGTACTGCTGCTGGCAGAAGCTTTTCCTTCACAGCTGGGCTCTTGGCCAACTGTCATCACTCTGCAGCTTCCCAGGTCTCAAGGCAGCTGCCACCAGCAACATAGAAGTAAGGCTAGAAGTCCTGCAATTCCCCTACAAGTTGGCTGCCTTCCTACAATTCCTTCTTGGGTCAGTGCCCTTACTATTGCTTCACTGAATATATGAAACTAGAATATTTACTCAGCATTGCTTGGATCCTGAACTCACATAAGTTTTGCTTTTCTTCATTTAAATCATTGTTCTGGGGTGGGGCTTGGGATGAGGGGTTCAGTAAACATACCTCTCTTCCAACTCCAGCCTTCTCTCACTGCAGCAGCTTGGAACCAGGTGAGAAGCATGTGGCCATGGCTGTTGCAGCTCCAGCAGCACAGTGGGGAGGAGGGTGCATGTTCCCTGGCTGGGGGACAGATACACAAACAGACAAACTCTCTGAAATATATAGTAGATATATATTTCTGCACCCTGCCTCCTGCTGGCCCATGGGAGTTATAGCTGTCCTAATCCCCATCTCTGGCTCCTTGCTATTTGGTGGTTGAAGATTTTATCATTTAGCGGGAGTTATTGAACAAACTGACTTGCAGACAGAGGGACAGACAGAGTGATAGATGCACATTTCTAAAATATGTAATAGTATTGAATCATGAATTTGCTGTGTTACTTTTCCCATTACAGATTTTTAAAAATACATTCAGTCCAGTGGTATACTTGTTAAGTCAGCTGGGCATATCTGCACTAAAGCATTATTTTGAAATAACAAGTGGAGCATCCACACAGCAAGCCCGTTGTCTCGGAATAAGGGGTTGATTTTTTTGAAATAATAACTCCTGCTTTTCACAAAGACTAACACTTATTTTGAAATAGTTATTTTGAAATAGCAGGAGTGTAGACACCCCACTGCTGCTATTTCGAAATAGCTACTCCCCAGAGACATTCAAAGTATTTACTTCCCAGGGCTTCCTGGGGCTCTAAGTTGAGGTAGTGTGTCCACATTAAGGCTATGTCTAGGGAATGCGTCTTCTCTTCAGACATTTTTTGCAGAAGAGCAGACACATTCTTTCAGAAGCTCTGTCTTCCTCTCTTCCGAAAGAAGAGGTTTTTCCAAAATTTGGCCCAGTGTAGATGGGCCTCTTCTGACAAAACTATCGGAAAAAGGTAGCGCAATTTGCGTGCCTTTTGCCGAAGAAAAGTGGCAGTCCAGAAATAGCCTGAGGGAGCCTGCCTCGGATTAATTTTGAGGGGTCCCCGTAGTGTGGACATACTATTTCAAAATAGTTATTTCAGGAGTTATTTTTTCAAAATAATGTCATAGTGTAGACATGTCCTATGTGATTCTGAACTAAACCATGGTGTTTTCACAGTTTAATGTCAAAACAATCAGAATATAATACATTATTTCACTCTAAATATACAATTAACTCATGTCATCATTGTGCCATCTATTAGAGAAATCACCGTATGATTATTTTCATGCTATGAATGATAGTTGGCATGAAGGAAATAGAGCCATAACAGGGATTTAAAATTACCATTGGTTTCCTAGCATTATGATCTTCAGAAATGGGTTTTGGCAATAGAAATCCAACAGTTTTTTAGGTAGCTTGCTTGATATGTGAGTACTTCTATGTTTCTGTGTGTTTTCTCACTTGAACGCCCATGAGGTCTCAAGGAGTCACTCCCTCTCACAGTAAGGCTGTGTCTACACTGCACCCCTTTTCCGGAAAAGGGATGCAGATTAGACCAGTCGGAATTGCAAATCCGCGAGGGATTTAAATATCCCCCGTGGCATTTGCATTTACATGGCTGCCGCTTTTTTCCGGCTTGGGGATAGGCCGGAGAAAAGCGCCAGTCTAGACGTGATTCTCCGGAAAATAAGCCCTTTTCCAAAGGATTTCTTATTTCTTAGGAATAAGAAATCCTCCGGAAAAGGGCTTATTTTCCGGAGAATCGCGTCTAGACTGGCGCTTTTCTCTGGCTTATCCCCAAGCCGGAAAAAAGCGGCAGCCATGTAAATGCAAATGCCACGGGGGATATTTAAATCCCTCGCGGATTTGCAATTCCGACTGGTCTAATCTGCATCCCTTTTCCGGAAAAGGGGTGCAGTGTAGACACAGCCTTACAGTATATCATATATCAAGATCTAAAGGAAAAATGTTGCTGCGTATTTTTGTTTGTTTTCACCCTGTATAGGACTGAGTTTTCTAATCAGATGCTTTATACATTTCTTAATTCATTAAAATCACGAGCCTAAACTGTTGACATTAAATATTTTACTTTGGTATGTTTGTTTTGGCAGATTTTAGTGACCAATCAAGTGGTGACTTTGAAGAATGAAGCCAGCTAACGTGGCATCATAAACTCAGGTAGATTTTCTATTTTATAGAGCTTGGTTTCACCTGCTGAAAATCTGTGCTAAATCAAATTATCCTTTCTAAAACCAATCCCTTTAAATTTGTAGTACAAACTGCAATTGTTTTCAGTTTTTTTTATATATAAAAAACCCTCATTTTTGCCACATAAAATTAAGGAGGAAGAATCTGTAAATTATAGTGTGTTTGGTGCAGGCCTAAAAAAATATTCTGTCTAAATCAGAGTCTTGTACAAGAAACCAGTTCTACTCATGGTACTATATTTATAGATACCTGTACTGTATGTCATGCATTTGAGACTGTTTCAATTTACATGCAGATTGGAGGAAATGAAAGTCCTTTTTCAGCCTGCTACGTGCCTCTTGAAGGCCAGAAATATCATTTTCTCTTTTTGAGCCTCAGTTTTATAATGTTTTTCTTTCTCGTAATTGCAGGGTATTACTTTTGTCAAATGAGATATGTCTCATTTCATAGTCATACCTCAGTAAAAGCTCTTTCAGAAAGGAAAAGAAGACAATGTCACAGGCTCTCTCATGTTTATTAATATTAATATGCTACTGTCTAGATCAATTGTTGCTTATGGAATCCAGCTCTAAGCGTCTCTGCCTGTATTGATGTCAGGAATCTAATGCTGGGGAACAAGAACCATTGATAATCTTCTATACTTATTTAAAGTTCAGATCAGATGGAGATAGCTGGTTTTAAGCACTACTGTCATAACACAATTATATAGTACAGTGACTATTAAATCAAAATAAGGTTGGCATCTGTATCTCAATCCCCAGGAGATGACAATCAATTTAGATTAGCCATTTGGTCTTGTGAACAATTCATTTTGCAAACGATTTTAAAAAGTAATGGTGTTACAGATATCCCATTCCACCACTGAGGCAGCTGCATTTCAATGATACTGTATTTTGGGATGTAAAATATTTGAATTCACAAGTGAGTCTAAGTTATAACATTTTGATAAAAAATCTCAAACTCTCCAAATCTGGGATGCTCTGGAACCCTGATTTTGGTTGAGCCCTATCTTTTTAGAATCATTTAGCAAGTGAATATAGTAAAATTGGAACATGTCCCTGCTATGTATGTCCTTGTGGAACAGTATTCTGTTTTCCAAATCAAAAGAAACCTGGTGATGTGATACAAAAGTCCCACACTTGATGGTTTTCTTTCTAGCTGCATAATTTGAGCTTTTGATTTTTAGTGTCCTCAACATCTTGTTTAGTTTCTTTGGCATTTGTTTTCCAGGAGCATGTTGTGCTCTTGAAAATACCTCATGAGAATGCCCTCAATAACCTATTCCAATGAATCTTTACTTTGCTTGCTTAATTTTTTGACAGTGGGTGAGCACTGGAAATACAAATCACACCTCTTAGGAAATGTTGGCAGACACTATGGCACTAGACATTTATAGTGCTGTTTGTGTCATGTCTTGACAGTGCATGCTTATCGTCAGGAAGCATTCATCATCCACAAAGAATAACAAATATAAAAAACTAAATGCTGGAGGAGGGGGAAGAGTGCAACTGACAGTTCAGCATGGAGATTGCCAGCACTTTATTTCCGAGAAAAATTGAAGTAATCTTTTCCTTAGATATTTGATTGCTTGTGCATTTCAGTTCCCCTAAACCTACCAGCAGAAGTGTATCACATTTGTATATACACCATAACACATTTGTAATGTTTTTATTCCTAACATTAACCTATAAATTAATATTTAGTCATTGAAACAAGTTGTCTGGTTGTTAGTTATTGTGCACATACAATTGTCATATCACAAGGATGTAGTTGCTCAGTATCTTTCCAGTTAATTTGGTTATTTAGGTGTCCAAATGTAATTTTCAGAAATTTAGAGAGCTAGGTTTCAAACTTTCACCAGATAGCATAGATTCACTTATTCATAAATATATTCATATATACATACACAAACATATAATCAGTGTCTATGCATTGATGTAGGAGAACATTTATTTTTGATGCTATAAAGGTGTACATGTGTAATTCTAGTCTTGAAATAATAGTTGAGATCAGTTGTCAGTGGTTTTCAAACTTTTTTTGAAAGTTTCATGGGTTTCATGACCCAGTTGAAGAAAATTGTTGATGCCCACAACCCAACAGAGTGGGGCTGAGGATGAGAGCTTTGGGGCATAGGAGGGTGCTCTGGCTTTTGGGTGGGTCAGTGCTTGGGGCAGGGGGAGCTTACCTTGAGTGGCTCCCAGTCAGCAGAGCAGTGGGGATGCTAAAGCAGGCTTCCTGCTTCTCCTGACATCACAGACCATGCTGCTCCCTAGAAGCAGTCAGCAACAGGTTCCCAGCCAATGGGAGTGTGGAGCTAGTGCAAAGGCAGGGGCAGTACGCAGAACCCTGTGCAGCCCTCCCCATACAGAAGCCGGGCCTGCTGTCAGCTGCTTCTGGGCACAGCACAGTCTGCAGTGCAGGACAGGCAGGTAGCCTTCCTTTACACCCCTTCTGGTCACCTGATCGTCCTTCAACAATGAGGCTCAATGCCTGAAATTCCATGGCCTAGTCCTGGTTTGTGAGCCATACTTTGAAAACCACTGAGTTAAGGCAACAGAAAGCGCTTGTGTATTCATTATAGTTGCAAAACATTGAAGTATTTATTTTGGCCACAGAATTCTGAGTCAAATTTAGGAAAATAAACCCTAGATTTGTGAGCTTTGAAGACTTTAAAAGAAAGGCAGGGTGATTTCAACTCCCATCCACTCCCTCCCAGGCTTTTACAGCTGTAGTAACATTGTTTGAAAGTTAGCGTGACAAGCAGTAATCCAGGTCATCATAATATCACCCAGTCTGGCAGAAACAGAGTAAATAAACAAGTAAAAATGTAAAATCCTCTTGTTATAATCAAAGAAGTACTGCAGGAGAGATGAAGAGGCAGCTCGGCTGTAAGACAACAATCCATAATTTATTTTGCAGATGTCTCTGTAATTTAAGCAGCAGGCGGAACAACCACACAGTTGTAGATGCTCTGGGGAAAGGATACCCAGAGCCTCGTAAATCATGGTGGGGATTACAAGCAATGAACATTCATCTTCTTAACCTCGTAAAGCAATATTGCAAAGCCAAGGATTACAATTTACTGAGCATGTAATCTTTGTTCAGGGATAAGGGTGTCAGTTTTTTTTAAGAGTCTCTCAATTAGCCATGGCATATGCCTTTTAGGAAGAGAGTGGCAAAATAGTTTATAAGTTTATTTATTAGTAGTTGCTACCTATGAAAATAATACTTAATAAAAACAAGGAAAAAAAGGGGAAAAAAACTATAAGGAAAGACTGGATCTGATGGTAGTTTTCCCATTAAGCTATGCTGATGTTTTCTGTTTTATTTTGTTCTGTGAATATGTGTGAAAACTAGATTTAATATGCAAGAACTTCAGCAAAAACAGAATTCACATTATAGTTCTGGAGCCCTAAACCACCTCTTCTCCTGCAGGATTTGTCTCTCCTCTTCACACGTACTCAATTATTATGTTATTCAATAGATTTCATGCTGTAAGCAAGAAATCCTTCACAAGATAAGTGGTGTTTTAATGCTTACAGGCCAAGACTTATAACACCTAGATAGTCTCTGAATTCCCTATTTAGGCACCTAAGTTCGTTGACCTCATTTTCAAAAGAGTGGAGCACCCACTGAAACCATTTTACAGCTGATGCTTGGCTCTTTTGAAAATCAGGTCACATATTTAGGTGCTTAAATATGAGTTTAAAATCGGAATGTGTGCACCTCTATTGCAAATACTATCCTGAGACTGTAAACAGACTCAAATTATTTTGTTTTCATTCATCTTGGGTTTTTTTGAATGGTCAAAATAAATGTGATTATCTTAAAGTTGCGAGAGCCCCTTTACATTTTAAACCTTTTAGCCACTCGAGAAGCTTGGTGTCAAATTAAAAGGAAGTCTGTCAGTACGTTGTCTCATTCTTGCTTTCTCTTCCATCATAGTTTCCTCAGTTTCATTCAGTTTCCTCTTAGGTTTCTAAAGGTATCACTGTAGATAGTTACATGAGTCTCCTCTATCTCCTTAGATGTACTCCTAGTCCAAGATGCAGTTATTTCCTCCCCATGTGATCATAGCTGGGCTTTTCAAAAAAGGACTAGATATACTCATGGAGGTTAGGTCTATCAATAGCTATTAGTCAGGATGAGTAGGAATGGTGTCCCTAGCCTCTGTTTGTCTGGACAGGAGAAGGATAATAAGAGGATTACCTGTTGTGTTCACTCCCTCTGGGGCATCTGGTATTGGCCACTGTGGGCAAACAGGATACTGGGCTAGATGGACCTTTGGTCTGACCCAGTGTGGCCATTTTTATGTTCTTATGTTTTCCCAAAGTAGTTGGGAATATTAAGTGTACAGGTATATGTCATTAAGGCACAGCAGTAGGTTCAGAGGTTTTAAAAGTGGGTCATATTCAGACCTTTAAAACAGAGCATAACACCCACCTCTACCTATTCTAAGATCATAGCTCCCCTTATCCTATGTTACACTCTCCCACTGTTCATTCCCTCTGCCCAAACAACTTAGCTCATCCTCCAAGATCCTAGGTATCTTTTGTCTGGGGAAGTAAACAGGAACAATCCCCACCAGTTCTAGTACCCTATGCATCCCAAGCTCCCCCACAAGCAGACCAACCCATCCATGAGGGGAAAGAGAGGCTGAGCTCAAAGGCCATGAGGCTGCAGGAGCAGGAACTGAGGGAGCAGGCCCAGAGCTGCAGGGAGCAGGAACAGGAGCAGGTTAGGGAGGCAGCAGAGGTCAGGCCTGCCCTTAACTCACTGGCAGGAAGCAGAGTGACTCATCCCTGGCCTACTGTGCTCCCCTATTTCCCAGCCATGTTGCTCAGTTGAGGGAACTTGGGGAAGGGGGGCACCGCATCCCCCCACAATCGCCAGAGGCAGGAAGTGGAGCAATGCAGTTGAGAACCAGCAGAGCGGATTGAGCATAGGCCAGATCACTCTGCTTCCCACTG